AGTGGTGGTTTTGTAGGCAAACATTAATGCCTTGAATTTTATGCGGGAAAAAAAAACACATTCTCAGTTCTTGTGAAGAGTTTGTTGTCGCTGGTTGTGTTTTAAGCAGTGTTGGGCAGTAACTAGTTACTAGTAACTTAGTTACTGTAATAATATTACTTTTTGCAGTAACTAGTAGTGTAACTAATTACTAATAAGATTTCAGTAATAATATTACAGTTACCATCCATAAAACAGCTTAGTTACTTAGTTACCTTTGATGCCTCAACCCCGCTGATTTCAAATCCAACAATAAAATAATTCCTAGATTTATTTTCATAATTTTCACTACTCACACATGCATGTGATGTCCCCAGTACAGCAGGCAAGCTTGGAATATGGAAAAGCTTACATTCAGCAGATAGAAATATTGCATTATATTGATTTTGTCAGGAAGAAAGATGATCTGAACACTGTTGTGTAAGTTGTGGCTTTACTTTACTCTGGCATTACATCCCACCCACACCCCTCTGACCAGCATGTGGTACATTATATTACTATAATTAAAAAATATTTTTGGAAAATTAAACAGTTTCTTACAAACGTATGTGATTTGACAAAATACATAATGAAATATAATCGTATATGGGTAACAGAGAAATTACAATTAGCTTCAAGCTACACATGACAATTAATGAGATTAATACAACACTTCTACTTGAATGTCGCTATCAATCAGTATTGAGTGTTTGTAATAACTTCTGACTGCGATCCAATGTTGGTCAAATGATGAGGCAGAAATATGTTGTTAGTAATATTCTAGAAGCATTTTATGTGGAAGATACACAGTTACAGCTTATGTGGGGCGTGAAGAAAAAGTAATGTAACTAGTAGTGTAACTAATTACTGTTGCCAGAAAGTAATAAGTAAAGTAACAATATTACTTTTGAAAGGAGTAACTAGTAATGAGTAATATATTACATTCTTTGAGTAACTAGCCCAACACTGGTTTTAAGTTTAGTTTGAATGAATTAGTGATGTCAGTCTGTTTGATGAATGAATTGTTTTCCATGAGGTTAATTCATTCATGAATCGTACAGTTTGAGCTCAGATCATTTGCTTCTCATAGGTTTGTTGATGTAGTGTTTCAGTAGGTCAGTCACTGACGTCTAAAGTTTCACATCTTCTCGTGTTTTGTCCTGTAATAACATGATGTGCAGTAGTATTTCAGCCTGAAGCGCTTGTTTTCTCAGTAAACTGCCATGGTTGCACTGTACTTTGTGTTTTCTGTATAGAGTTCCAGACATTTCTTTGTTTGTTGTTTGTGTGAGAGCTGAGTTGTCTTTACTGCAGTAATGAGACAGAAAGAGAGCGGTCGACACTCAGTGTGGAGAAGATGATAGAGACAACGAGAGAGAGAGAACATAGACCAACAACTGAGTGAAATACCTTCATCTAACACACACAATTAGTCCCCACATGTGTCATGGAAAATAGGATTTTCTTTATTCTTTGAAATATGTGTTTTATGTACAAGGAAAACATACTGCTCACATACACACTGCAGTTTTGCCATTCTTGTCTCTTGTATCATTCACGCTATCTTTATCTCAACACATACATTACAACTCCTATACAACAACATACTGTACATAATTCCAACTAAATATTTCATGTCCTTTTTATTTATTTATTTAATAAGTTGCCATGTAGTAATCAAGGAAATGAAACACACAGAACAAATATCTGTATAAATGGTTTCATAAATGAAGCCCTATATGTGGAAAGAGGGTAGAAATTGTTTTGAATGACAAAAGTATTGCTGTTTTTTGGTGCATAAAACCCTGATTGATATTATATAGTGAACATCAGTGAAAAACAAACTTATATAGTATGACCCTTTTAAAGACAGTAAAGTCTTATACTTTGCCTGTCTGTCTGTCTGTCTGTCTCTAAGACACACCATTTCCAGTGTTGAGTTTGAGGAGGAGGATCAAACGCGCCTCTGTGAGTGTGTGTGTGTGTGTAGTGTATAGAGAGATGCTGTCAGCAGCAGTCATGTTTTATTCTGTTTCATCTTCTTGACAGTACCACCAATCACTGTCAGCAAGCCACAGCTTGTGCTGTAGAATCATACACACACACACACACACACACACACATACCATATACACTCTTATTATACATACCCTTACCAAAAAGTAGTATACTTCAAACTTATTTTATTAAGTATACCTAAGTAAAGTTCAAGTATATTTTTTAAGTATACTTTATGTAGCAAGTATACAAATAGCAGTGTACTAGTAGTATACTTGTAAGTGTACTATTTCAATACTCCTTGGGACTAAATTGGCCCACTTTCTAGTATATAAAAGTATACTTTTAAGTATACTTTAAGTATAACAGTAGTAAACTTTAAGTACACAACTAGTTTACAGCAATATTTTAGCTTGTACTGCAACTATACTAAAAGTGAACATATGAATACTGATTATTAATTAATATGAATACTAATTAAATACTTGTAGTAGCATTTTTAGTACACTTTGAAATATAGTCTTAGTAAACTACTAGTTTAGTAGTTTTATACTGCAAGTATACTCGTAAGTTTTCTTTAAGTGAACTTCACATCATACTTTAAGTATACTACTATGTCCCTATTTAGGTATTAATTTGTATTTAAGTGAACTTTACATCATACTTTAAGTATACTACTATGTCCCTATTTAGGAATTAATTTGTATATATTTTGTTATATGAATATCTGAACATACAAAACATCAAAAGAAAGAACAGGGTATCTGGTTGTAAACAAAAACATTTTATTCTAGCTTCATGCATTCTTTTTTTAAACACTTTAATGTGGGTAAGTTTCATAAATAATTAAAAAAAGAAAGAAAGAAACAACATTTTGAACAAAAAGCTGAAAAAAAGACGGAATTGGATTCAGAACGATAATCAAAACGTAGATGAAGTCGATCAACACCCCAAAGCTTGACAGTCATTATTACCTCTTCATCGGTCGACATTTTATTCCATAACACTACACAGTTTTGATGCTGTTTTATGTCTGAACAATTAAAAGAACCAAAGACTTAAACTACTTCAGTCTGTGTGCATTTCATTTATTTAATACACGAGTTTCACAATTTGAGTTGAATTACTGAAATAAATGAACTTTTCCACGACATTCTAATTTATTGAGATGCACCTGTATATTTAGACTTTTTCTAAGTAGGCTATAAATCAAGTATACTTAAATGTCATTTTAAGTATATTTCTGAGAAGTACATAAAGCCCATTTCTGAGAAGTAGATAAAAAGTAGACTAAAAGTATACTTTCCTATTTTTTAGTTTAAAAGAAGTATACTAATAGCACACTTGAATAAACTTCTTTTTCGTAAGGGTATACACACACAGAAGTAAATTGTATTGCTCGGGTGTTGTTTTTTCACAGCTGAGGTGATTTTATGGAGTTCACAGTTATGTTTCTTATAACTATCATCTTTGTGAAGTGTGTCTTGTACAATTCCTTAAGAAAAATAAAAAGTCAGTTGTTTGAATTGATTATCAGATATTTGACTTTTACAGACTTTTGAAATTGTTGAGACTACGTGAGGTTGTCATGAATTACTTGTAAAGGCTGCCCTGTGTCTGGTTTTGCCACACTAAACTTAATAAAGTAATAAACACGTTGAAAGTAATGAACCATATAAATATTGATCAGCGCAATCAAAGTAATTTTTATAAAGCAAATCAAGAAGTGAATTACTCACCCATTGCTTTAAAACAGACATCTGTTGGGCATGATTGTAGTTAAATACACAATGGAAGATGCACTTTATATTTAGTAAATCTCATTGAAAATAAATGAATAAGTATTTTATGTTCTAAAATAAATTAAGTAAATAAAAAAAAATTTGGATGTATTTTGAATGTAAAGAGATCAACATCTCTTTTTGAAAAGAGATCAAGATGGCGCCGCAAATGGCAGCCAGGACGCTGAGCTCCGCGATTCTTCTATTGTTTTTGTTTGTTTGTTCTGTGTTTTGTCATTCTTCTTCTATAAGTTTTACCAGAGACGAACTCCTTAACATTAAGCAGCACATCCCAGACAATATTTTTCCGGTTTTTGATTATTCGGACGTTTTGTTGGACATTCTAGGCGGAGGTACAGCGGTGTTGTTCAAACGCGCGTGCAGACGCAGAAGAGGGAAAGTGCCCTGGTGAAGCTCTGCACGCGCGGCATTCGGACTGCGCTCCCAAGCATTCATCTCGCGAATGTCCGTTCCCTTCCTAACAAAACGGATGAACTTCTTCTCCTCACCCGCACCAACAAGGACTTTTCTAACTCTGCTGCACTGTGCTTCACTGAAACCTTCTGATTCTGATTCTGATGTAGGTCCGAAGCATGACATCAGCATCTTCATCTGACTATTTTTTTCTTTTGGTCCAGATTTCTGCAGTGAGTGGACGTAAAAAATGGAAAATTTCCATTTATGCCACGCAACAAGCAAGCAGCATAACATTGGCTATTAGCCACCAAAATACAGATTCCTGCAAATGCTTCCCATTTGAATATTGTTTGGAGCACAAGATTTGGCATGATATTTGTTTAAATAAATTACAGAAAATACAATTAGACATATCTAATTAATTGATTAATTGACAAATAATCCAAAAAATATGCCACAAACAGGAAAAGTGAAAGCACTACAGATCTCCCGTTTCCAACAGCTCCAAACTGCATTGCAAAGAGTTTGTTGAACTTTGTGCTGCTGCAAAGTCTCCAAAATGTCATTTACCTATGGTGTGCCTTATGAAAAGACAATGAAATATTTAAAGCCCACTATGTCAAAAATACAGAGATGTGTATTACCATTTTGGTAATAAACTCATCTTGGGTCAGTTTCCTCCAAATGATTTGGCAGGCATGTCATACAGAGAAGTGAAGCTGTTCTATAATAGGCAGTCTGAATTCATTGGTCCATTGTTACAGTGATTTGATGCTTACTCTCTAGATACTGCGTATCTGCACACGTTACACCCCCGACCAGGACACAATGACGTTCTCTGACGGTCTCACGCTGAACCGCACACAGATGCACAACGCTGGCTTCGGCCCGCTGACAGACCTAGTATTCACCTTCGCCAACCAGCTCCTGCCCATCGAGATGGACGACACAGAGACGGGACTGCTGTCTGCCATCTGTCTCATCTCCGGAGGTGATGCACACCTGCACACTAGAACAGGGGTTGGCAACCTTTTTGTCATCATGTGCCGTTTTAAATTTTTACAGTTAATCACTGTGCCAAAATCCTTAAAGTTTGTTTGTTTTCAGGTTTAAATCATTGAATAACAAGGGCTGTATTCACAAAACATTTTATCTCACCATTAAGAGTTCTCCTAAATAGCAGTAAAAGTTCTTAGGTAAGAGTTTCCTTTTAAAACTTGTTCACAAAGCTGAGAACAACTTATACTATAATGGGGAGAAATCTTAAGCTAAGAGAAAGGGGTTGAGCTTGTTGCTATGTATAATGCCAACAAGCTTACTGACTATGCCCACAGTGACTGGCTGATAGGGGATGAGTCTTTTAAGTATTTATGTGACTTTTATGACTTAAGTTGGTGGAATTTACTGTTGTAAACATATCTCTGCCATAATTACAGTGGATAGTACGCAGAAGCCATTTGCCTTATTAGAAGTCAATGTGTCATCAGAATGATTTTGAAACTGAAATTTCAAGGGGGAAAAAACGTACATACAGTTGCTTTAAGAGCAACAAATATGTCAGAACAGACTGAGCTGTCAATTACTAAATCTCACAGGGCAACTGCTGCAAAACTAGCTTAATTTATGTGATTCACACTGGATGCATGGCTCTCCTGCCTTGATCTGCAGTCTGCTTTCAGCAACTCATAATGCACCTTGGTTGCACAAACAGTTTGTCAGAACTGTTAGTACACATGCCATAGGTTGCCAACCCCTGCATTAGAAGCACTAGTACAGGGGTGTCCAATCCTGCTCCTGGAGGGCCACTGTCCTGTAGAATTTAGCTCCAACCTCATTTAAACACACCAGAACCCATTAATCAAGGTCTTACTATGCATAATAGAAACATCCAGGCAGTTGTTTTGAGGCACGTTGGAGCTAAAATTTGCAGGACAGTGGCCCTACAGAACCGAGTTTGGATAGCCCTGCACTAGTACAAACATTTGTCAGCTAGTATGAGTGAAAAACACAAGTGACATTTACAGAGGGGTTGTTGTTTTTTTTTTGTAATAAAAAAATATATTTTTTTTTTTTGCTGCATTGGTCATGGACTTAAAAATTACACATTTTAGTTTAAATGCAACAGCACAAGGTTTAACTTCTAATGTCATTGTAGTTTGGGAAAACCCAGATAACCTACTACTTGGTTTGCAAAATGCATGGAGAAATACTGTTTATTGAATATCTTACATACTGCATACTATTACAAATACTAGAACTAGTGCAGAATGTGAATGCATTCAGTGACTTCCGTGCGAGTGATAACACTGCCCTCCTGTGGTCGTGGGAGTTACTTCATCATTGAGCAAGGCACATTTAGAGGGTTCATATTCTGTTCAACAGCACTCTGAGGGATGGACTGTTTGTGGTATCTTATTCATTTATAATGTCTCTGATCATATGCTGCGTCTCTGACTGTCTCTCTAGATCGTCAGGATTTGGAAGAGCCTTCAAAAGTAGACCAGCTCCAGGAACCCCTGCTAGAGGCTCTGAAAATCTACGTGCGAAAGCGCAGACCCAGCAAACCACACATGTTCCCCAAGACCCTGATGAAGATCACAGACCTGCGCAGCATCAGTGCTAAAGGTCAGCATGAACGCTGATTCTTCCTATAGGTCAACACTGGGGCGTACTAGAGAAACTTCAGGATTTTCAGTGATGCTGAACTTTCAAAGTACCATAACTGGCATAGACATTAGGGGAACAGCATCCTTCATATCTTTAGATGCGTTTTATAAAATATGGGTAAATGGCTGATTAAAACTGAGGTAAATGTCTGATTCTGAATCTTGGACTCCCAGTCCTAAATAGTTGTTTCTAAAGCACTATATAATTTCAGTCATTTCACAGTTAGTTTGCAGTTCATTTACATATACGCTTTGGAGTGCCTTGCAACAATATAATAATTAAAATTATAATGGGTAATATTTTTAATAATAAAAAAATATTATCTAGTAGCAATAGCAGTTATATTTCCAATCTATTTTGTGCTAACCCTGTTACATTCAAAATATATCAAAGTTGAAAAGCCTTTTCTTTGTGCTAAAAATTTTATTTTTTTTCAGTGACAGCTATTATTTTATCATTCTTTTATAATTATAATTATTATTAATTGAAGCCAGTGTAAGTGTAAACATAATTAATTAACGATACAGAATTTGAGAAGCTGTTTCATTTCAAAATCTTCGCCCTCCAGAGCCATAAACACATACGTCATTGAGGAATGAGGATAATTCATTTAAGAATAGTAGCCATTATAAAATTTATCATTATTCCTTCCAAAACTCCTTCCTTATAACTTATTGTAATTTCTTTCTTGCTTTGGAATGTAATGTTTTTTTTTCAAATGAGCCTCGTTGGCATCTGTTTGACTTCTACTTGCTATCATTTTTTAAACCAGTATTAAAATATCCCCGCAAAACAGGGTTGAACACAAAGTGCAGGGATTCCACGTAAATACATGTTAGAGAATGATATTTTAATTTTTTTTTTAAAAGAGGCACAAGAGGTGCCTACAGCAAAACAGATGGAGCTCACAGTGAGTGTTTCCTGCAGGTGCAGAGCGAGTGATCTCTCTGAAGATGGAGATCCCTGGATCAATGCCTCCCCTCATCCAGGAGATGCTGGAGAACTCAGAGGGTCAGGACGGACAGAGCTCCTCAGAGCGGAGCGGCTCGGGCAAAAACAGCAGCAGCTCCACGGAGCCCAAGGCCTCGGCCCCCTCCCCGGAGCCCACAGACGGGGCCACTTCCTCCAGCGAGGAGCCCTAGAACATTAACCCTCAGACAGTACTGGTAGACTGGAGGCCGATCTCTCCAGTGTGTTGACTTCTGGTTGATTTCCGCCCATTTCCTGCTTTAAGAACATCTTGAGATAATCAAGTCCTACAGTATCATAGGACTGAATCACACACACACCCTGAATCAGATGCCCACCTGTGACAGATGTGAAGCTCCTCAGGTCTCCTGTATGGATTCTTCATGTGCATGATAAGCTGTTACTTTTTATTCATTGATTTCCACACTTTCTCTCTCATTCAACCTGATGCATTCATTGTACATTTCATTGTATGTTTCTATGGTGCATTTGTTGGTACTTTTTACATTGTCTAACATGCTCATTTAAAAAAGAGCTGAAGTCCTTTAAAATACACATATAGAATGTTTTTGCATATAGACAGTATGGAACTCTAATATTTTACATTGGTTTGTATATTTAAAGCTGTCTCAATTCTGATTTGTATAAATCAATCTCTATGTTCACTTGTCTATGTAGGGTCTGGTGAACTCATATATACACACTAATAGTGCACTCTATCAGTAATCATGATTTCAGGCCTTCATATGGAAGAAATCTTTAGTAATTGACTTTAACCGCTCTCTGTCATACTCACCCTCATGTTGCTCTAAAACTGTATGCTTAGTTGTCAAGCTCCAAATAAAGTTTGACAGCTGAGCATACGTATAAACACTATTAAAGTATCGTAGCATCAGTAAGCAGTCCAATCAATGAATGCACTGTATTCCATGTCTTTGGGCATTATACAGTAGCTTTGTGTTAGGAACAGACACAGACACCAGCGTAGCAAGGGTTTTATGTCAACAGAGTGCTGCAGAAGAAAAAAACTAGTTAGCATTTTGGAATTCTAACTGGTTCCATTTTGAGCACTTCTGGTTTCATGATACCAAAATCTTTTTTTTTTTTTTTTTTTTGAGAGGATTAAAAAGGTTTAAATGTCTGAAATAAGCTCAAGATATTTTCACGTTTTATTACACAGCATGAAATATATCAGTAACACCTCTCTTGTGATTATTGTAGGCTTTTGCATGTCTTTAAAAAGGCGGTTGCTAACAAGTGGTTAGTGGGACTACAAGCATCACATCAAGCTCAGGGGTGGTGATGGTGATAGTTTGATTATGTAAGGACTTGAGGCGATTGTATTTAGTCTTCAGAATTCTTTTGTGAAAATTATTTTGATAAAATATTAAGCATGAAAACCAAACATGAATCAACTTTTGGTTTTGTCATGAAGCTTTTTTTCTGCAATAATCCAAAAGAAGGCAGTGGAAAAATCCTATTGGCTTTTTTGTCAGGGTAATGCTCACTTGGTAATGCTTACTTGTCTTACAAAGTTGGCTTACAAAATTACACCAACCCTGCAGCACTCTATTTTCAGTCAGGTTCTATCACAAAGCTGATAATCCATCAGAAGACTTGGAAAATAGCACACAAATCATATGGACTACTTCTGTGCTACATTTATGGTGATCTTTTACAGCTTCAGTCCCTGTTCACTGCATGGAACAGAGCAACAAGAACTTTCTTCATATCTCCTTTAAGGACATAAAGTCATACAGGTTTAAATGACATGAGGAAGAGTAAAAACAACAAACCTTTCATTTGAACAGAGTTTTAAGCGGTAAAACTGTCCCATCTGGGTGAAATTGATAGTCATATCATATGTTGATATGTGAGTGTGTTTTGAGATCAATGGGAATGGCAGAGACTGGTTCACACAAATGCACATTGATGATTCTGGTCACTTGGCTCTGAATCAATCTCCTTTGCATAAGTGTCTTTTTTGCAGTAACTCAATGGGACTTTGCAATTCTTTACAATGTGACTGACAAGCCAGTTGTGCTGCAATGAGCACATTGTACATTCAACTCTGTGTGCACTCATTAGGGAACCTTGTTTTTGTGTACATATTTTTTTTTTCCCTATTATTATTATTTTTGTTTGAGTGAAACAATTTTTTTTTCTCAGACAGGGTGATATGATGGCCTTCAGCTCTGATCAGTTAGCTGTAGCTCTGTTCTCTGGAGAGCTTCATTTAAACTGATCCTGAGTTTGTATAATACCTCTTACTGAAACACAAGTGTCGCTGGATTACCGTCTTTACAATGGGACACTGTCTTTGGCTGATTAATGATCAAATTCAGTGCTATGTTTCTTAGAACGCGAAATATAAAGGTTTCAGATGCCGGCTGTTTGTCTGCTTGTAAAGCAGTTTGTCTGCATAAAGACATTGTAGTTTTTAAACTCTCATTGCACTTATAAACTGCCCTCCTGAGAGTACAGGAGACAGATGTTACTGTCATATTATTTTTCATGAATTGCTGTCCTTATTTTACATTTATGTTCCTTGTATGTGTGGATAATTTTGTGTAATTTTGTAAATTCTAACTTGGAACTAAACTGTAAACGTATCTAATCATTTACTCCCGCAGGGTCAGAAAGGGTCACTGTAAGCCTTTGTTTACTTTTTAACTTAAAGGGATAGTTCACCAAAAAATGAAAAATCTGCTATTTACTTGTCCTCATGTCATTTCAAGACCATTTTCAGAATCAACATTCTGCTGAATCGATAGCATATGGTTTTGGAATTACAAGATTTATCACTTAAGTCTCAAAAAGGTAAATAATGACAGAATTTTCATTTGTGAGTGAACTGACCGTTTTATGTGAACACACATGCACCTCCTCATAACGTCTCACTACGCATCTGCCCTGAAAACATATCATAAGGGAGAACAGACTCACTCATCTGAATGTGAATAAGGAATGACAAATTCTAGATGATATGCAGTATTTATCTTTATTTTCTTTTTTGTACCTCATCACATGTAGATTAGAAAGCACGAATGTTGTTGTGCTATGCCTTTTATTTAAAAAAAACCTGAGGGAAAGTGCTTTTTTTTGTTGGAGCAGCATGTGTCTTTGAAGTTAACAAATGAAACAGCTCATGAATGTCTTTATAAAAACCCACGCCACCCACAATTCCCTCACACATCTACAATCCGCACTCATTAAACTGTAAGCTATGAAAGCTGTATCCTTTGAATTATGTAAACATTATGCTTTGTTACACAGAGAAAAAAAAAATGATTTTTTTTCCTAGCTAGTTGACGTTGTGTTTGATTGAGTTAGAATATATCAAGCATAACTATGTCATGAGAGATTTTCGGAATCCAAGTTTAAATCTTGTTTTTAAAAATCTCATTCGGAAACAAGGGTTATCAAATGTGTCTTGTTATTCTTTGTTAAAATTACCTCGCAGAGGGTCCGGCCTTCTCATCTGGATTGTTCAATAATGCTTTATGCTGAATGTGATCTTGTTCGAAGCTAGTCATGTGTCATGGCAGAGATCCAACCGTGTGCTTATGTGTTATTTTCTATCCTTTAATAATAGGAAACATCATTTTGCTGTTGTCATATTGTATGCCGATACAGTTTTTAATGCATTTGTTTTGCTGGCTTTTGTATAGAGAAACAAGCGATGCAATTATAGGTCAATTATCATCCGATTTGATTGCGTTTAGAGCTCTTTATGAGCTTACATGAGTTCTGAACCCTGTAAAAGAGCAGAAAGATTAAAACCAACATATACTACACACATTTCAGATGGGAATTTTCAAATCGGCAAGATTTTCAATGAAGGCCAGTTAACTGGCAGTTAATGTAACTCCAAGCCAGCCCTAATTCATCCTCTGATGGAACATGCCTTCAACAATTAGGAATAAATAAATAATGAAAACTAGCAGCTCTTGAAATCATCTTGAAGCATGAAATCATCTGATTGTTTTTTTAAAACCTGTGGACCCGAGGAGTTTGAATAACGACAATTCAACAATATTTTTCTCAGAACCAGGAGTGTTTGTAACCATTTGTAAATTCCTGTTTTGCTTCTGTCTTGTTTGGACATTAACAATGCTTTTGTTCATGTTTGACCTTGCCTTTACATGAACCCTTCTGGCAAAACAATAAAAATGTATTTATTTTAAAATGTTTGGGGAAGGTATTTGGATGGTCACTGTATGTAAATGGCCCAGTGCGAGTTTGAAGATGCAGTCAACTCTCAGAGAAATGTTCCAAGGTTTAGACATTTTACACAGTAGAAATGTATAGGTTGTTTTTGTTAAATTTTTCTCTAAAAACAACAAACTTCTTTGTGTTAAGCATTGTTTTTGCGTCCTTGCAGAACATTCCTATGCATATCAACTATTTATTAAATGCGTCACTAGGTATTATCCATGTAAATTGTCCTCTTGTGTCCTTGCATCAGTTGTGGCTATTACACTTGATCAGAGTTGATCTTCACAAACGTTACACAATTCAGATTTGATCATTCTTAACATGTATAATTGAGTCTGTACCCCCATTCTAAGTTCATTACTATCTGTGTGTGTGGTAATAAACAGCATGTCACTTAGAGCTGAACTTGTCTTGAACCCAATAGCACTGAAAAATGTTTAGGAGAACAACAAATAATTTACATTTCATGTTTATTTTCAAGTCGTCTCAAAAAGGTAAATCATCTCTAATGCTGAACCATTAAAATGTGCTAAAGCACAGCAGTCTAAATTTCTAAAAGCTGCTCAGGACAAATACAATTCAATAAAAAACAACATTGTCAATGTATCATAACAATACCAATAATAATAATAGCAATAACAATAATGAAAAGAGTAAAACAGCTACACAGTAGAAAGAATTCAACATCACAAGTGAAGAGAAAATAAAATGGAGGGTAAAATGTACAAAATTCTGCTGGGCAGAGGACAGTGAACCTGTTCTTCAACAAGCATTCTTCTGGTGGGTGTGTGTGTGTGTGTGTGTGTGTGTGTGTGTGCGCGCGCACGCACACGCTTTCTAGTCTAACATATCATCGTCATCGTCATTATCAGATTCTGCAAAGTATTTGACTTCTTTCTTGGCTCGACCAGACCGATCTCTGCCCGAGTCCAGACGGCTGAAGCTGTTCATGCCTGCATCGTCATCATCTTCATCTTCAGACACTGCCTTCTTTGGTTTCTACATGCCAACACGCAAACACAACATTGTAAGACACTGCACTTCTCCTCATGGGCACCTGCAAGCTCCAGAATTTAAAAAACAGTGTGCAAACACATTTACCAATGTGCATCACAGTCCCACAGTTTAGAAAATATTGTGGTACTGCTGTTATTTTGATACTGTTTTGAGCCTAAGCCTGGATTCAATTAATATTGTGCTG